CATGACAGTCTATTAGGCCTCAGGAGTTCCTCAAGTTGCTTAGGTGAAATAATTCTTGTGCTTTCTTACTTCACATTACAAAGCAAAAGAATTGAGTTATTGTGTGGGAATTCTATCAAGATTTCAGAAGATATAATATAAACTCGAGGTATTATTATTATATAATAATATATTCCTATGATTAAAAATGGAAACTGTATGAATATAAAAAACTTTCATTTTCATTTTCACTTTCTCCTCAATACAGCCCTAAATCCAGATGAAAAAGGGAACCTAGTAAGGAAAGAGTTATCATTTGTAGATGAATCAACTATGACACAGATCCACATTGAAATATTTTAAAAAGCCAAGAACCCATTTTCAAATTCAAAATCTTGTCAATAAACAGATGTACCTTAGGAGTAACAACACACATCCATCTAGTAAAAAACTGAACATTCTCTAAATTCACAAAACTGAAAATATGCCTTTAACCTTCTTTTCATGCCACACTAAAGAGGCACAACATGAAACAGAAGTGTTTAAACGTATTTATTAAGCACTTAGTAAGGTCAACAATAAAAACCAAAAACAAAACTTGGTAAGCTTTTTAAAAAATGTGTTAGGTAGCCATCATATCATCAATTTTTTAAATTTACAATTATTAGTATTTATAAAAATATTAGCTTTAAGAAATAAAGCTCATCATTCATTGAAAACTCAAACGCTGGACATATTTATTAACAAAGGAATAAATCACCTTAGTTGCTCTTTCAAATATGACAGACTCCACTTAAAGTACAACTAAACACAGCATTTCATCAAGAAGCAGATTTTATGGATACCAAATTCTAAACCTTTTTAAAGCTTTAATGATTTTAATTTTTTAAGTGTCTAAAATAGACTACCTTTGCCCTAGCTGGTTTGGCTCAGTGGATAGAGCGTTGGCCTGAGGACTGAAGGGTCCCAGGTTTGATTCAGTCAAGGACACATGTCTGGGTTGTGGGCTTGATCCCCAGTGCGGGGTGTGCAGGAGGCAGCCGATCAATGATTCTTCCTCATCACTGATGTTTCTATTTCTCTCTCCCTCTCCCTTCCTCTCTGAAATCAATAAAAATATACTTAAAAAAAATAAAATAGACTACCTTTTTGTTTTTTAAAGAACCCAATATATAAATACCCATAACTTATTTTCTTCCTGATAGACAAAAACAATAAAAAATAATCAACAGTGCCTGCTACGATTATTTAAAAACTTTTTAATGAGGTATTTTTAGTTCATTTTTAAAAATTTACCAGTGTCTCAATTTTCTTTCCAAGTTGTTTTCCAGTACCATAATGAACCTCTTACTTTATTTCATTGCTATCTTATTTCATTGATAATTTTATTAAAATAGGAAAAATTCTGCCCCAAACCACTTTATTACACAAAACACAAACTTCCAAGATACTTGGAAATGCCTAGCTGATGTGGCTCATGGTTTGATTCCCACTCAGGCACATGACCAGGTTGCAGGCTCCATCCCCGGTGCAGTGTAAGGGGCATGCAAGGGGCAGCCAATCAATGATTCTCTCTCATCATTGCTGTTTCTATCTCCCTTCCTCTCTGAAATCAATAAAAATATATTTTTAAAAAAGATACTTGGACATGATTAATTTATGTATGCAAAAATATTCTGTGCATATGCTATATATAAATCATAGTAAATAAAATATGAAAAAGTAGAAGCATAATCCTTTACCTCACTACAACTTAATCCTCTTGCATTCATTATACTAAACGTGCCTAATCTTGAGAATTCCCCCTCACCTTGAGCTTTCACAGAGAGCTCAAATACTTTCATAATAATGATGTAATGTGATGTGGTGTAAAGAGCCAGGTAACAGGGTGTCTCCAAAACCTCAGTTTTCTCTCTTGTAAAATATAGCTGTACTGTATCTCCTCTATTTAAATAGGCTGTTAGGGACCTGCTCAATGACTTATAACAGCAAAAACCTGTTAACATCCTAATGTGAACCAACATTCCAAACAATGAAATACTATATGACCCTTAAAAAAAAAAGCTATAGATTTATAAGTGTTCATTTAGAAGGATGTCCCAGATAGCCTGTTAAAACAAAAATGCAAAATGCATAGTATGGCCCAATTTAAGACAGATATACATATATGTACAGAAATATTCTAGGACACACAAGAAACTTCAAACGATCATCAGTGGGAAATAGGGTAACTTTTTAAAACCTCTTAGTCTTTTATAATCATTGGAAAAAAATAATGAACATGTATTATTTTAGTGAATTTTTAAAAAACCTAAAAGTAAAGATCTACTGATTCAGGTTATATAATTAGAAAAAACCTGGGTTCAAATACTGGTTTTGCTATTTACTGTATGTGATGTTGTTAAGCTACTTAAACCTCAATTTTTCCATTTGTAAAAAGGAGTTAATAGTACTAACCTCACACAACTGTCTGGAAGGTGAAGAAAACCATACATGTAAGACACTCAGCTTAGCCTATTTTAAGAGGACAACTATTATCAGCTATAACTATGATTATTGTGAATGTTATTATAAACTCCATAAACCGAGAGTATTTAGAATCAGATTTGACAAATCACTCAAGGATGATCAATCTCAAAGACAACCAATTTCCTTTAACCAAAACTCAAAACTCATTCAACCGGGTCCACATAAAAGCATAAGGTTAAAAAAAAAAAAGCTCTCACAGCCCTGGCCGGTTTGCTCAATGGTCAAAGCGTCGGCCTATGCACCAAAGGGTCACATGTTCAATTCCCGGGGGTCACAGGCTCTTGATCCCTGGCCCTGTTTGGGGCTCCTGGGGGAGGCAACCAATCGATATCTGTCTGTCTGTCTCTCCAGCCCTCCCTCCCTTCCATTCTCTCTAAAAAGCAATGGAAAAAATATCCTCGGGTGAGGATTTAAAAAAAAAAAACTCTCACAGGTAGCAGGTGGGCTGATGGATATGGTAATCAGAGTAAAGTTTGGGTTTTAATTAAGTATCATCTAACTAGAATAGTCTTCTTCACTATACGGATACCTATGCAAGACACCAGACTACTCATGACAACTGGGCAAGGGACCCTGATCTTTACAAAATGCTGTATACATAGGAATACACTTTATTTTTAGTAATTCAAGCTGCCAATGTGAGTTGTTTATTTTAATATACAATAATTTTTCAGTTTCCTAAAAATGTATGGCACTAATAGTTCATGCACATAATTTGCAATTTAATTACAAATAACATGTCAAATAAGTGGAGATATAAAAATGCAATCTGCATAAAAATAAATTCCAAAAAACTTCTCAATAGCTTTTTGAGTGGAACTTTTCCTCACAAAGTTTTCAAAAATTTGGGCTTAATTTTATCAAATCAAAACACTCCCAAGTTGTAAACGTGGCCTTTATACTAAAAGCACTCTCACAAAGTACCACTCTAACAATATTCAATTTCATTTTTTTCAAAAGATGAAGAACACATCCTAACTTCTATATAACCACTGAAAAAAAGTTGCATTAGGTAGATTAAGTCAATATGTAGTGCAACTGGTTTGGGTCCATTATATTACAATTTTAACAAGCCTTCCTGGTATTAAAGAACAGTTTCAATATCGACATGATTAATTAAAGTTTAGAGTACTCCAATTATAATTATAAAACAAAACAAGAGGTCACACACATTTAATCCTTTTCAATATGAAAATAAGAGTCTCCACCTAATTTATCTACTGTAAATTTGTCAGGATTTAAACTGAATTTCATACCACACACATAATTACAATTGAATATACTGAGGAATTACTGTAGCTTTCCTGAGAGTAACCTAAAGTTCCCACCAAAAATATTGACACTTCAATGAGGCTCTGAGAACTGCATGCCTGCTTCATAGATTATTGCAGTATGCTGAACTGGTGTTGAAGCTTGTATTAAGCTAGCTACATGAAAGTGAAGCTTTCAGTTGTTACAGCGTTTATAAAAAAAGAAAATGCTTCTTAACCTATAAGTAAGAGCTATCAGAAACACACATTTTAAAATTCTACACACATTTTCTAATATTCAAAATACAGCAAGCAGATATCTATGACAAGCAGATCTTCCTATCCCTTCTCACCCCCACACAATGCTTTGCCAAGAGCCCAAGTCCAAGTAAAATAACCGATGCAATTTCCTTGTTTACTTAAAGAATTGCAGAAAACATGTTGACTGCTTCCGAGGCCTCTGAAACCAATGAATATTTAAAAGATCTTTCATGGTCATGTTTGAAATAAGAGAGTAGTAATGATTCCTTCAAGCTAGAAAATATACAGTCCTAACTTTATAAAAAGGGTTAAATTTTACACTGCGGTTCATTAGCATGCCTAGTTTGCAACCAGAAGGAAGAGGAAAGAGGGAAGGGGGGTGGGGTTGGGGGGGGCAGCAAAACACACAAGATGGAAAACATCACTACCTCCTTTTGGTGGTTAAGAATAATTTTAAATGACCTCAAGATGGAAGCTAAGAGTTCATGAGTAGAAAGAAAGGGGGTTAACCATCTGAAATGGCCCCTTCCAGACTCATACTGCTGTCGGAGAGAAGGAATTTATTTACACTGCAGTGCCTGGCAGCAAACATGGCTGCCCCTGCCCCCTTTAAATCTGAAGAGTCTCCACTCCCTCACCAAGACCATCAAATTGTGGCCATGTCTCTCCCCGTCTTGCTACCCTAACACGAACACTTCTCCCTCAAAATGGTAAAGCCCACGCCTCCCCATTTCACAACCACCGCAACAGCATAACCTCTTGCTTCTCCATTCTCCAGCCTTGAAAGAAAAGGCACAGAATACACACACATACAGGAACAAAAGGCTTTCCCTTCCTAACACTTCAACAACCCCCGTCCCCGTCTTCCCCTCCCACTCCGTGAGGTCGGGTCGGCTGGTTCCCATCCGTGTCCACGTTCAGTGCATTTCCCTCCCTGTCCCCAAAACTGGGTCCTCCAGCTTCCTGCGTCTGTTTTCCTACCTTCCCCTGGCATCCTGTCTCCGTCATTTCGCCTCTCTTTTCCCAGCCCACCTTTCCCTCCACTCCCTCGTTTCTCCCTGGACGCCCATTTCTCCATCCAATTCTCTCCCCTCTCCCCCGGAGTCCCGGTCCCCACCCGACACCCCCAAACCCATTTCCCAGTCCGCCCAGGTCTCGAAACCTAACTCGGCTCCGCGGGGCCTGCCCCTCCCCCGGCCCCATCGCTATCCCCGCCCCCATCCCACCTCTACTCCCAATTCCCAGCCCCGCGCCACTCCCGGCTCTTCCCCCACCTGAGGGTCGGTGCACGACCGACCGAACCACGCACACACCGACAGGACATCAGGTCGACCTCACGTGCTCTTTCTAGCTGCGGCGGGTGGTTGGTGGGACGTGCTGAGCTTGCGCGAGTCCCTGAGCAGAGTAGGAGG